GTTCTGGTGAGTGGGTGTTGAGTTCTTCCCATCATGGCTGCCTATGTTTAGTGCTTTATCTGAATTAATTATTATTTTTGAAATAATAGTATATGGGTATCCTAGGACTGTAGATACAGATTTTCTACCTATGACATCTCCAAGTCCTGCTTTTGATAGTGAAGTTCTACCTCCTTCTGTGTTTTATGTAATGATAAGACTTCTTAAAAGGGTTGTTATAGAACAATCTAAGAATGGCATGATAAGTTGGCAAGCCAAGGCAGTGGAAATGGGTATGGAAACAGATTCATGAATAATTTCAGAGATTAGATTAACAGTATTGCTAACTGCATGGGGTTGGTTAGGAAAGGCAGGAGTTCAGGTTGATTTTCAATGTTTTGTCTGGGAAGGTGAGAGGGTTACTGTATAGAAGAGGAGACACAATCTCGCAAAATTTGGAGAGAAGTATGTGGATATTGTAAACTACTTATGATATTTTTATTTAAAGATGGAAAATTAATGAAGAAAGGCAAGTATCTGAAGACTGCCAGTAAAACAAGTCCTTGCATTAGAAGAGGTAGAGAGAAATGACACATGTTGTCCTTTTAGCCACTTTGCTTTAGAGACTCTCCCTTGGAGATTACAATGATGAAGTCATGATTATGGCTACCTTGATTTCCCACTGGTCCTTTCAGAAGTCCTGGGAACTTAGCATGGCCCTTAAAAGAGAATGCAATTCACATGGAGGTATTTGTTTCCTATTGCTGCTGAACAAACAACAAAACTTTTTTATTATCTAACAATTTGGAAGGTCAAAAGTTTTAAAATCAGTATGTCGACAGGGCTGAATTCCTTCTGGAGGCTCTAGAAAGCTGTTTTCTTCATCTTTTTCAGCTTCTAGAGGCTGCCTCCATTCTTTGCCTTTTGGCCTCTTTCCCCTTATGCTCCATCAACATCTCATTTTCTGATTCTGAACTTCCAGCCTAGCTCTTGTAAGGATCCTTGTGATTATGCCAGCCTACTATGATAATCTTCCATTTTATGATACTTACTTAATCTTCAGTTTCTTTTGCCATGTAAGGCAACTTATGCATAGGTTTTTGTCATTAGGAGGACATGTTAGAGAATATGTAAGTGAATAAAGTTTTCATGTTATTCTCTCTTATTTGTTTTCCAGTGAATTACAATATGATGACTATACATTAATATATTTCTCTTCAGTTCTCACCACTGGCATATTAGTCATTTTTGCTGTAGTTGCAAACACTCCTCCAAATTTCTGGACTTATAACAATAATTACTTTCTTCCTGTTATGTAAAGATTGTGGGCTTGCTGTGGCTCTGCTGAGTCTGGCTTGGCTTTCTGAACTCAGCTAGGCTCTGCTACCTACACAGGCCTTGTCATTCTTGGACAAAAGTCAGAAATACAGCCACCTTTCGGGATGTATGCTTTTTTTTATGACCAGGTGCCAAAATTCAAGGCAGTTTCAGAACATAGACAAACTATGAAGCATCTAAAGTTTCTGCTTCTGTGGAACATATACCATGTACACTCACATTCCATTGGCTAAGAAGATCACAGTGAGCAAGCTCGGAATTACTGGGGTGGGGAAATGCACTGCCTACCTGGACAGTTGCCAGGGAAAAGGGAACCAAAAATAGTGAACAAATAATACAATTTCCCACAACCTATTGTGTTGGAGTTAATCTTGCTCAGTGCCACTTTATGTTCTTTTGTAATATTAATTACTCTTTAAAGTTTTTAATTTGGCATTCAATTTACATAGTTGAAGTAATAAAGGTGGACATATAGTTTCTATATAAATAGGTCCCAGAGGTAAAAGTAAACAGATTTGGGGAATTTTAGCCAAAGAAAACATTCAATTTTATAAGTATATAAATGTTTTTATGAGGGTCATGATGGTCAGTTATTTTTAATATCTGTGGATGTGTAAGCCAGCTGAAAAGAATTTAAATGAAAGTAAAATATTGGGGTCTAGTTACCATAAGGAATGATTTCTTGACCAGTCAAGTGAAAAAGACATGAAAGGGCAAAAGGTCTCCCTAGTGGATAATTAAATCATTCATCTGCTTGAAGGAGGAAGGCTGAACCAGATGACAGGTTTCTGCCAACTCTCTGTTTATGGTACTTTGAATTTTGAAATAAAGAAGTGCTTTTGCAGACAGATGGTATTAAAATTTCTCTTACATTAGTAAAATGGCACTAACCAACTTAGAAGCTGGCTTAATGCAGAAAAAGAAAATGGCAAGAGAAACATATGAGAGGAAAATGTAACTGATCATCCACTGCTTATTCTTGAAAGAGAAAAAAAATTACAGCTAACTCAAGTATAATATATTCATCTGTTTTATTCACACTTTCTTTTCACAAACATGTCATTAGTATCTACTATCTGTTGGGCATTGTGGTAGTTGCTGGTTGGTGAGGAAATTATACAACTCACAGTTTAAAGACCCAGCAGATCAGCTGTCAATGTCACACATCACCATCTTCTTCATGAATTTATGCTTAATATTTAAGAAAGAGAATAGTGTTTTAAAGCTGTATTTCATGATCTACAATTATGAAAATTGAGAAGCTGAAACGATAACTCCCTTTCAGGTAATCAAATACTTTCATTTGTCCCTCAGCCATTTCTTTTCTCCTTGTGATTCCTCCTCCTTTCTTTCAGTAAATATCTAATGTAGGTCTTTCCCCACTCTCACAGCTTCATTGAGGGATAATTGACAAATAAAATTGTAAGATATTTAAGGTGTACAACGTGGTGATTTGATATATGTATTGTGAACAGATTCCCCTACCCAGTTAATTAACACATCCATCACGCCCATGCACACATTTTGTGAGAACATTTAAACTCTACTTTCAGCAAATTTCAACTATTCAATAAAACGTCATCAACTACTTGTCACTGTGTTTTACATTAGATCCTCAGACCTTGTACATCTTAAGCGAAAGAGTGAACCCTTTTAACATCTCCCTGTTTCCCTTAGTTTGACTTTTAGGAAAAAGATTCCACATAAAAGGGATACCATGAAATATTTATCCTTTTCTGGGTGACTTCTATCACTTAGCATAATATCCTCCAGGTTCATCCAGGGTCTCAGCTATTTCTAATTAGCTTTGAGGTGTTTTTACATGCCAGCCAGTCCTCTCTGACAGCAAGTTACTATTTGCTTTTGAGCTGGATTTATGAGTATGGCAATGTGTGGTTCAAAGGCTCTGTAGTATTGGTGCGTCCCCTTTTACGAATTTACCTCTTATGAAAAGTCAAAGAGCATAGCGTCATAATGGATATTTCACCAGCGTAGCCTGCCAAACAGGCTCAAGACCAATGGTTTTCTTTTCTAATGAAAGGCTGCAGCTTGGATTAAACACCAAAAAGAAATATTTGAGAGTTGCTATCTGCTTTCTTAGTCTTAATCTGTTTGGTAACAACATGTATTTGCTTCTTTGTTATAAACGACCTAAAGTAATCCCGGCTGACTCTTGGCCAGTACTTCACCTTCAGCCCGCTGACTGAAGCACTGCAGGACTGCTGACTCATTTAATCCTCCTCAGTGAAGGAGTTGACCTGCAGCGCTGTTATCCCCACTTCGTAGATTGGAAAATTGAGGTTTAGAGAGGTTAAGTAGTTGCAAAAAGAAACGTGCCTAGTCAATGTGGTCGGGCTTTGAATTCAGATGGCATAGCTTCGTTTTGTTGCTTTTATGAAGCAAGTCCAAGAATCCTAGATCTTATTACAACTAAAAACTGCTTCCTGTTGCACTGGACTTCATCTTACCCACCGCTTTCAATTTGAGTTTCTGGTGCAGACTATGAGTTTGTAATTGCTTTCCTTAATGCAGGTAACTAACTTTCCGCAGATCCTCTGATGTTTAATTGCAAAATAATAAGTGCACACTTTGCACACACACACACACACACACACAGAGTTGATCAATTACTGATCAAGAAAGGCTTGATAAGGGCCTAAAATGACTAGTTGTTCTCCAAGTGCAGATAAAAAGTAGCGCAGGGGTTGGGAGCCCGTGAGAGCAGATTCTCCCCCACCTAGGGCCCCAGGACGGCGCACAGGCGCGGGGACCTTTCGGGAGAGACGCGAGGGAGCTTGTGCTGCACAACCCGTGGCGCCGCGGGGACAAGTGACTCGGGGTTCCCCGCGCGTGTCCCGGCTCCGGGGCCCGAGAGCGTCCCTGCGCGCCGCGGGGGAGGCCGCCGGGGTGATGGGGGCTGCGTGAGGCGTGGGTGCGCCGCCGCTCGCGTCCTGGGCTGCAGGAGGAAGGCG